GTACAGTTTGTCAAAAAGCTCTAGACGTAACAGCCAGAGTTAAAAGTGAAGAATACAGTTATGAGGCTCAATAGCATATTCAGTGATTATCTTGCAGTTTTCTATTGTTTTCTATTGTTTTCTATTGTTTTTCTTGTTTTCTATTGTTTTTGTTTTTCTATTGTTTTCTATTGGTTTTGTTTTTCTATTGTTTTCTATTGGTTTTTCTTGGTTTTCTCTTGTTTTCTATTGGTTTTTCTTTTTTCTTTCTTGTTTTCTATTTTTTTTTCTTGTTGTCGTTGTAGGTATGAGGAGAAACAAATGGCACAGTGCATTACTGTGCATGAAAATTAGTGAAGAGCAACATAACCTTATGTTTTGGAAGACTCCAAAGTCAGTATAGTGTTAATAGTATTTATGGGTTGTGAGAGTGGGAAGAAGCAACAAAAAGGAAATGCTTCATCTCTGTTCAAAAATACCATCAAGGATGAAATTTCCTCCTGGGAGAAGGGCCAGTACTGAACTTTGAGCATTGCTTAATTTGGGCCTTTAGCAGTACTGAAGTTGTGTTTATACCCTTCAATAGGCTCTTTCCTTTGGATGAGTTTAATCTGAAGAATCTAAATCCTGTACGGAGAAATTTAGTTAAAGCAATGTGTTGTTAAATAGCAATATGCTATAGCTGTGCCAATGTAACTCCTTTTGGGGATTCTCTTTTGGAGTTTGGCATCCCTTTTGTGAATTAATATAAATCACTTTGATAAGAAGTCATGAGGAAAAGCAAAGCACACTTACCCAGAGAGTAAGTGTGCACTGACACTGGCATAGTAGCAGACGTGTTGGTAAATATTCTTGCATATCCAAGTCCTTATTTGTAATGACAAAGTCTTATTTTGTGATACACATCACTCTAACCTTTTTGAACAGAGCACTTTGTATATCCCTCCAGCCCGAGGCATGATCTGCATCACATTGGTATATCTGCTGCCCAGAGTTTGCTTTGAATCTCTTCTAGAACCTGACAGAACTGGGCACCCAGCTCTGGGGAAGTGCTCAGGAGCGTGTCACAGAGCAGGACTGGTGTTGTGATACGTACAGAGCAGGGGGACTGTCACTTGGGGACTCTTGCAGATAAATCTCTGTGTTGAATCTCTAAGTTTTTTTTCATTACACACACTGTTACAATAATTACCATGTGTCACATGCTATGTTCTTGCCTTATGTTTGTATTTAAAGCAAAAATGTATGCTAAAAACTCTGCAAAACAAACATTTAAGGTATCCGAGCGTGTCTGTTGAGAAGCTGAATCTTTGTTACACCGAATGCTAAACATTTACATATCCAAGCCTTATGTAATGGATGTCTGAATAATAATAAAACTGCATAAACTGACCTTAGTTCTCTGGCACCACTTCTCCTTTGAAGTCTGCATGACCAAATTCAAGACAATTATGTCATCCTTCATAACAGCCAAACAAAAGTTTGGCCAAATAATTTTTTTTTTCTCCATTTAACAGCACTGTGTTTGATTTTTGTAATGTGTGTCAATGTAGCTGTTGTTATTTACTGGCTGTTACAAGTGACAGTAAAAATCCCCTTGTTTTCGATTAATGATCAGCCCTGGTAACATCTGGATTTCATTTATTTTACCTCAGTGCCCACTCGGTTACTTTTAGCAGTACATTGCAAGGCAAGTACGGCCTGAAAACACACTCACATAAATAATTTGCAGAACGTGGTGTTACAGTATGTGCCCATATGTGGCAGAAGCAAAACAGAGCCCTGGACAGAAGGCAAACTGGCACTAACACTTTCCCCTCTGTCCAAATCTACCAGTGCCACACTTCAGTAAAGTTCTCTGTGGACAAGGCTGTCTCTGTCAGTACAGGGTTGTCAGCAGAGACTCAGATTGCACATTACTGGGCCTCAGACCTTGAGGAAACCTTGGCAGGCTGTCATCTCAGTCTTTGAGGCTCTGTCTGTGTCACCAAGTACTTCAAAACTTGGAGTTTATTTTCCCCTACCCCCTGATTCAAGTGATCCTTGCCCAGGTCCCTGTGTAGTGTTGTAACTTTTTTTGCTTTCAGAATGGATTACAGATCAGGATGAAATATTTTGAATCTACGTTTATCATATAAACTGGATTAATTTCTGCAGAAAACCTTGTATAGGTTTTAGCTATTGCTATGTTTGCATATAACCCTGTGTTGGCATGTGGTACAGCTCCCACTAGCAGAGCTGGATCCAATGGAAGTGTGCTGCCTCTTCCCATCTAGTTCTACGAAAAGAGCAGCAAACCATCTAGGTTGTGTTTCTAGCTGGTTTAAGTTATTTTGTCTGCCTTCACTACAGCACTTGTGGCTTCATCTTTCCATCGTGGATGCCTGTGCACATCCACACACACCTTTATGTTTATACTGGTAGATACTTTCACAGCAAATATGCAAAATGCACATGTTGCACTTCATCTGCTGCAAAATAAAAGCACTAAAGGAAAAGCACTATTCTGATATGGTTCAAAGCTTCACTGCTGACCCATATCAGAACTATGACTGAAGACAATAAAACCATGACAAACTGAAGTTAAGAAGCAAGCCGTGAATGCAGTCCTGACGTACAATAATACTCTTTTGTGTCCAGTTGCAATTAGCTCTCAACTTAATTTCTAAATGAGTTTCCAGAGTTTTGTTGGTTTAAATCATGGTGTTGATGATATTTTTTTTTATTTTACTTCAATTTGGTACCATGGTGTAGACAAATGTAATATGTAGAGTTTATGAAACCAGACAGCTAGTAAATCAGTATTATTTTGCTAGTAAATTACTAAGCCAGTGCAAACTGCTTTTAACTCTTTCCCATGGGACAAATAGCTTGATCTAGCTGGAGTTTAAATCAACACTGTGGGCACTGAATTAGTCAATGATTCTGAAGAAGGCTTTGTTGGCATAAAGTTCTGCTTTGATCATCATAGTATTTACGGCTTTTTAATTAGATACAGTTCAGAACAATGGCTTTTATCAAAGCAGTTTGGGAAGTGAACAATTGGACTTTGTTTAAGGCTTTAGATGACATTCTGTCTGTTAATATCATGTGGCTGGTTTTAATACAATGATGAAGTTAGGATTATTTTAGGCATTGTCACTGCTTTGTCAAAAGAAACTAGCTATTTTGAAAAAGAGTGGCATGTATTGCTTTTTTAATATAATAGGTTTAATCATTGCTCAACATATTAAAACCCAACTGTTTGCCTTGGGCTTGCAGAAGACAAACTAGTTTTGCACCCATAAATTTGAAACATGTGATTCTTGCTCATCTTGACTTATTTTCATGTGCTGAGTGACTTGTTGGGGAGTGCTGAGCTCTTTTTGTTCAAAATTGAAGGCAGTTGTTCCATTTTCAGTGTCAGACATTTCAGAGTTGGCTTCTGATATAAAGTAACCTCAGCACCGGTGTGAAAATTCCTCAGATCTTGGCAGAGCTGGGCTTGATCATTTTTGGAATGGTAGATTGGCCTAAGTTCGCTTTTAAAGCTTTACAGTAAGTGTTTGTAAAATTGGTAAACTTATGAGAACAAGAAAGTTAAGGAGCCACTGAAGCATTTAGACCAGCTCCTGCAATTCAGTGTTCAAATGGAGATGCTTATTGTCTAACTAGCAACTTTTTTCTTTTTTTCAACAAACTGACCACTGATTTCAATGAGAATAAAAAATTGGCTGTAAATAGTTATTTCATTAAAGCTTGGATTAGATCTTCATGTTCTCTCATTTGCAATGCTATTGGGGCAGAGTAAATATTGGTCAGTGTTCTCGGTCACCTGAGACAAATGACTCACTGCCTCACTTTTATCCACAATTTGACTTTGATAATGACGCCAAAAGCCATTACTTTATGTTAGTGGTAGCTTTATGTGCAAACTGTCCCCACAGTGGTTAGAGAAATGGATGTAATATAGGATTCTGAAAATCTTAATTTCTTTATAACAGGCCCATCGTATGCTTGACACCTCTCAAAGAATCAGTGCTTGACACTTTGGTATAAAATCTACACATACTTTTTCAAAAGAGAAATTTTAAAGGTTGCAGGGACAGAGGAATGAATGTAGGGTGTAACTGGAACAGCTGCTGTACAGTTGTAGTGTAATCAAAGAAATCTTGGGGAACTCCTGAATCTTGGCTTTTTTTATATTTTGTTCATGAAGAAAATCATAAACCAAAAGTGTTGTGTTAAAGCAGGACATTATTACATAATTTGATGTATATTACTTTTTTGATATTGAGCTATTGTGTGAAGCTACCATGTTCCAGGATGTTTTGAGAATTTCCTCTGAGAAATGTCGGTTTTCCTAAACAGTGTACATTGCAAATGAAAAAAGACATTTTTATGGGGTCAAGCAGAATTTTGGGCTTTGTCACAAATCTTCTATTTTTATATCTATGGTGCCTGGTATGAATGCTTTTGAAGCCTCTGTAAGTGAGCTTAAGCATCAATCAGTGTTTAATTGCTGTAACCCAATAATCTCTAAGCCTTTTTCTCTGATCTCTTACAACTTAACAGCACTTTTTGTAATGAGATTTTATTCTTGTATTACTTCCCTGATTGTAATTCTGGGCATACACTTTACAAAAGATTTGAGGGACTTAAGTTTTGTCTTACTGCTGAGAACAGGTACACCTGAGGAGACAGAGAGACTTCAGTCCTGGATATGAAATTCGTTTGGTCAGGATTTTGGAAAGTCCAGCAGCCTGCTCAGAACATGTGGTTCCTACACAGCATGTTGGACATACAGAGGTTGGGAATGGCAGTGTGTTCAGGCACAGCAGCTCTTTGGCAGAAGTCAATTCACCAAAAACACTGTATCTTCAAACACTCTGCTTTTCCCCCGTGCAATTTTATATATTAAAATAGTAAATTTTAGATACTGTAAATAAGCAGCAAAGGAATTTAATTGGTACTGTTAATGCCAAGCAGTAAAACAAATATTTTTTTTTTCTTCTTTCCATCTTCCTTTTGTTTTTCTTCAGAACTCCAGAACTACCCGCTCAGATGAAGACAAGGAAGGTGCCTGGGATGCCTGGGGTGCCTGGAGTGATTGCTCACGGACCTGTGGAGGGGGAGCCTCCTACTCCCTGAGGAGATGTTTAAATGGCAGGTAAGCCACATGCTTATGTGTATATATATTTATTCTTCTGCAGCTCTGCCAGATTTCCCAATCCTCTGCTGGTCACTTCTCTTTCTGAAACCAAGTGCTGTGTACAGATAGATCAAGTATTTAAAAAATACTGGTTTTAATATATGTTTGTAGTAGATAAATAGCTTAGGCTTCAACTGTTATAGAACTTAAACATATTACGAAATGTGTTTGTGGAATAGCAGGAGTGGTTTATTTAGTACAGTCAGTATAGAGAGGAGTCCCCATCACTGTAAATAAAGCAAATGGTGAGTTACTTGCATACATATTTACCTCAGTAGTAAAGCTGGACGAAAGCAGGACTTGTTGCTACAGTCCTAAAAGTAAGAGTAATGCACTAGGCCTGTAGTCAGGCAGGAAGAGATCCCAGCCAGCTTAGAGGCATCTCCGCTGGCATCCATAATTGCTTGTTTGCTTGAATTATTCTTAAACGTTTTTAAAACTGCTGATTATGTTTAAAGTCCTATTTCATTGAGATTTTTTTAGGTTAAATGCAGCATCAGCCAGAAATTCAGATTTTCTTCAAGGCTTGTAGTATGTGATGTGCTATTTAAGTGCAAACTGTATGAAATACAGAGCTAAAGATGATTGATTAAAGCACTGCCTGTTTCTTTTAGTGCAAAATGCACAAAGATCTTTGAGAAAAGTAATAGTTCCAGCAAGAAACCTCAATATTCTACCAGTGTGTTAGGGACTGTGAAATGAGGTCAATAAATTCTAGCACTATAAATTCCACTGCGGTTTTATTAATATTTTTAATGTGTTCCCATGTGAAAAACATGTGTTTTCCATACCTTGACAAATATATAGTTTAAAAGTTTTTTTCTGTGTTTGATTGTAGCAATTTCCAGGAAATGCACAATTGTGAAACAAAGTTTTCACATTTGTATGTATCATAAATGTTTTTAACTTGCATGCTGTCGCAATCAGTCTTGCAAAAGATAGGAAATTTGAGACTTGTAATATCTTGAGTTGGAAGAGTTGTACCTTCAACTGAGCTGGTTGAATTCTTGCTCGAGGCATCCATTGGTTTTTCCTTTTCAAATGCTATTTTTTAATCCCTCTCATGTATTATAGAAAAAAAATTAATGTTTGCCATTGATTTTCATGCAAGATGTGGAAAATTTAGTCCTAGAGCTGTAAATTACCAGCTATCCATTCTCACATTCTTTAATGTAAGGCAGGTCTTTCTGGTATGAAGGGATTATTCCAAAAAACTATTCCTGATTTTAAAGACATCACTAATTATAATTTATTGTCCAGTCATTTGAAATATGTTTCCAGTTCTTTCAAGGGCTTGATTTTGCCAGTCTTGAGATGAGGAATATCTTACACTGTGCAAAGCGCTCATTCCTTGTTGAGAAGTTTGGCAGAGTGTGTCCCTAAAAAAAAGTGTGAAACCCAACCCCCCTATATTTATGAGACCATAATAAATAACCATGACTCTATTATGTGCCTGTTATTTCAGCTATTAACAGCAGACCAAAGATCTGAATTGCCTGGATTTCAGGATTCACAAGCATTGGGCACCTTAGAAATGCATGCAGTCCATGATAATTATATTTAATTTAAAATTATTAATTAGATATTCTGATCTCCTTTTCCCTCTACGTTACATCCCATTTATTGTAAATAACTTTGCTGCAATCAGCACAGATCAGCTTAGAGATGCCTTGTGAAATCTTTTTCCCAAAATAAATGTGTTTTTCATAACGTTTGCAGTAAATTGGGCTTACAGGGAAAGTCACACGTTCTTTGCTGAAGAGAGACAGCAGTGTAACCTTTTGAATCCCCAGACCCCCTTTGTATTTAAACTTTGTATTTTGAGCTCAAATTATGGTAGGGCAGTGGCAATAAAAGTCTAATTTTCAAGAGAATAACTAGCTGTAAAACAGGGTTCTGTTTGGCTATTATACAGTGTAACCATTTTTACTCTGTCTTTTAGGAACTGTGAAGGTCGGAATATTCGATACAAAACCTGCAGTAGTAATGTGAGTCTGGCCTTTAATCCTATTTTACTTATTCAAACAATGTGTTAAAGTTTAAGAAATGCTGCTTCTCATTTAAAACCTTATGGTGCATAATTTTCTTTCCATCATTATTACAATTTTTAAACATTTCAGTCTGCATGACACCATGAGGTCTCAGACTTCCCAAATGGACATTTTCTTTTGAAATTGCAATGCCAGTTGTGATTTAGGGTGTTTCATATCACCTATTGGGAGAGTTACACATTTTGGAGGATTAACAAATCAGTTCTCGTCTTAAACTAGCAAGTGCTTTTCCTGGGGGTGCTGTCTTTTAGATGAAGCATTAAACTGAGCTCTGGATCGTTTGTGATCATTAATGGTATGGTGGCACTCTTTGTGTCAGCAAAGAGGTTAATTACCTAGATCCCTTTCAGATCTTAAATAGCGTAATTAGTCCTTATATTCCCTCTAACACTCCACTCCTCAGTATTGGATGACTTTTACACTACAGCTACGGTTTCTGCTGGCAGAAGCTAGTGGAAGTGATTAATGAATCAGACCCAGTGCATGCAGAAATCATATTCTAGAGGCAAACCCTCTTCCTTGCCCTTTCAGAAGAAAAGGCTCAGCAGCTGAGTGCACAGTGGCGAGCTCATGAATAAAAATGCTACCTCCAAAAAATACCACGATCTTTAAAAGCTGCGTGATAAGCTAAATTGCAGCCAGTCAGGATGTAAGCAGTGAACAGACTGCCCCTGTAAAATCTATTTGCTGCATTGCTTCACTAAATATCTAGTTGTAGGCATTGTATGCAGTAATGTACCTCTGCCTGCCGGCTCCTGTGCACCACAGCTTCCTGCAATAGTGCAAACAGGTCATCAGAGTGCACCTTGGTCCTTCAAAAAAAGACTGTAGAACTACCCAGTGTACAGAAAAGGGAAGATGGTGACATCAATTTAGGCATATTTTCTGCCCCAAATCTGCATATTTAAGCAGAGATCTACATACTTGTAATACATTTGTGGACACTCTTCATTTTAAGGTTTGTGCAGTAAAACTCTGATGGAAATGAAGGTCCTTTATGCTTCAGCATAGAGAAAATTAAGATGATTTCCATATCCTCTGTGAACTCCCAGGGAGTTTATCTGAAGTCACTGGAGCCTGTTTTTTAACTTTAGGACTTATTTTAAAGTGATAAGTGGCAGACGTCTTGTATGTGAATCTGTTTGAATTTATGATGATTCAAATGTTAATTTCCAGACAGGAAACTGCCTTTTACAGTTCTGCTTTTGGGGCATGTCTGAAAGGGATCAGGTTTCCATTTCAGTTCAGATACAGTCAGAGTCTCTCAGGAATGGTTTTTCCTAGATTACGGATCAGATAATGAAGAACTGCCAAAAAAAGGTGTATTTAATGAGATTTCCACTGTTAATAGAGTTGATCTTTGAGGCTGGCGTCACTGAATTCAAACCCGGTCTTAGATCTGACTTAACCTTGAAACAGGGCCTTACACCTAATGTAAACCTGCCACTACTAGGCCAGTTTAGTTTCAAATTATATAATTTTCCCCAAAGCATTATTCCTAATGAGTGCTTCTCACTTTAGGAGTAAAATTTTAGTTTGAAAATTAAGAGTTTATACTAGCTTCTTTCCATATTAGTAGGTATTACTGGTAACCACATGAGACATTCAGTATAAATACACGGTGTAAAGCTGTCTGCAAATGTAATTTTGCTACATGATACATTACACCACTAACATCTATATTGGGGAGTACAAATGAAGCACAGCTTAATATGTGTGTCATTCTAATGAAAAGAACAAGAATCATTTTACCAGAAAATTGGTTTCATCTGGATTTGTAATAGAATAGTAGTAAGTTCATTGAACTCAAGCATGGTTCCAGAATAATATTAGTGATATTTCAATCAAAAAATTAATTCAAGGTCTTAGCAACAAAATAATTGCTGAGATTAAGGCATATATGTAGCTTGCTTATCTTTCTATCATAACTGAGGTGCCAGGTGCATGATTTCCTAAAACTGCATGTATACTTTCAGCCTACAGAAACTTTGGAGAAATAAACTATTCATTGTATGTTATTTAATGAGATTTTTAGCCTTTCTTGCACCCCCTTTTTTATATCTCAATTTTTGTATGTAGTGTTACATTCTAATGCTATGATGTGCACTATGTGGAAGTGTTTAAGTTAATCCTTTAGGGTCCTATTCATAGAACAAGTTATTTGGGCCATTTCCCCATAAATTTCACATTCTTATGTGCCAAAAAGTCACTTATACATTTGCCAGAGTGATTCCTCTACAGTAAGAAAAAACACTGTTTTGTAAAAGATATCCCCATGTTTGATTCCATTATAAACATTTATTATATGCAGATAATGCTCACACTTGTTCAACATATTCATCTATAATTGCCCCAGCATCCACCGAACCAGTTAACTTATTCCATTCAGAAAAATTTGGCTGAACTGTGTCTGCTTTAGACTATATATTTCACCTGGAGTTACATAGTTTCTAATCTGTTCATTTATTTATTTTATATTTATAATGCTGATGCACTGTATGGCTCCCTTGGCAGGGGTGGTTTCTAGCTCAGGTATCTTGATTTTACTTAGAAGTGACCTGAAAACTGTGTAGGAAAAACATAGAAACTGAAGCTAATTTCAAAAAGAAAACAAAACAATGACTTCATCAGTTTTGGCTGGGTTTCAACAAAATGAGATTCAAAGAATAAAACTAGACAAAGGGCTAGACTTTCTTTGGTGTCATCATTTTTACTGGGAATTTTCTTGCCTTGTCTATTGTGCTTTTTTTCAGTGGAGTAATTGTTGGCAAGAGTCACAGGGTCTGATGCAACCTTCATATTTTGTACATGAACATTGCCTACAAAGATACAGATTTCCCAGGTTAGCTTTGTTTTCGAAGGCTGAGAGTGCTCACTGCCAAAACTCAAAGATACATTTCGTAAGAAGCCAGTCCTTGAATGCAGTAGTTTTTAATCATCTATCACAAAACGAATGGGAATATATATATGTGTGTTTTTAATCTGCATGGTAGTCATGTCTGAAGCATCATTTTCAGATCTGTCTGTCTAATGTGTTCATAAGTCATGTCATAAATACACTTCATTCCACTGCAAGGTCTGGATGCGATTATTTTTGCCAACATTTCCATGTCTTAGAACTCACAGATATGTCTTCAGCTCCTTATGTAGTAGTGTATGAACCTGAGAATGGCCTGGCAATGGTTCATTGGATTGAGTGTAAAACAAAAGCTATTGCTGAAATGAAGAAATCTGAAAAAATCCTAAATTGAGTAGCAAAAATATTTAATAAATAAGAAAAGATGTGGAATATTTAGAGGAAAGGGGGAATGGTGGAATGACTTGATGTCTGAAATAGATTAAGAACAAAAAGACACACAAACAGGATGAGGGTTGGGGCCCATGTATCATTGTCTGGTTGTATGACCTTGCCCACTTCCTGAACATGTTTCGCCCTTGCCTACCTCTCACATCTTTCCTCCACCTTTTCCTTTCTATTTTTTAAACACCCTCTCACTTTTCTGACCCACTCTAATGGAATTAAACTGATGTTTGCAAGTCCTCTTTTTGTCTTGATTACATTCCTTTCTGTGCTTAGTCGTCTTTCTGTTTAAAATCCTTTCTTTATACAAATATTTATTGTTCCCAGGAAGACTGGGATCTGAACTTGGTTTCCATCCAAATTCTGATATAATGCAAATGATAATAATTTCAGCCCTTTGATATCCCTCTGTGATGCTCTTTTTATGCTCCTGCTTTTGAATAGAGCTCAAACATAAAGCAGGTGGAGCTGGCATGTGAATTGAGCTGCCATAATCACTTTGGGTTCTTTGAAGATGCCAAAAGAGAACAGGGAGATGAGAATTCACTTGCTCTCAAGCAGCCAGGAAGTGAGTGGAAGGAAGGAGCTGCATTGTGTTGAATCAATGAGAAACATACAGTAACCATGGACTGACATCCTGACATTGTGGTGTTTGTGTCTTGGCATTGCATCAACACCCAGTGATAATGGATTGTAACAACAGCCTGTCAAAGCTCAGCTGAAGGCCATCACTCTACCCCTTTAACAGATCACTCTCTAATTCTTTGTGATGAAAATGTAGCTGTGCATGGCTGAATAACTCTACTCCTACATATTGCTACTACTTTACTTGAATCTAACTTCCACTTATTATTTTTATCCTTAACTGCTTTTCTATTTGCATTGGTGGAAGGGAACCATGTGGTATCCATATGAACTCTGAACTCCTCTCTGCTTTTTAGACTTGCTATTGTGGAAAATGAGAGGTGACAGATGAGTCAGAGCCCAGTTCTGCTCTCATTTACAACAGTGCAAACTTGGTGAATTTCTTGGGAGTGACACCACAGTAAATATGTGTGGCTTCTCGCAGTATCTGCTTGATGTTTTTAGAAGCTCTCACATGTGGGATTTTGCTGAGGTAAAACACTCAAAGAATTACAGTAACTGTAATTTCTCTGTCTTATTCCATCGTTGTATAGTTCCAAAAACTATGGCTCAAACTAGCATTATCCCAGATTAAAAATAATAGATTTATTAGTATCATTCCGACTTATTCTCACTTTAAGGTGAGTGAAAAGCGTTGCTGGAAACGCTCAGTGAATTGTTCAGTGCTCAGCTGCAAAACCTCCACTTGTTGGTCAGAAGATAGAATGCTGACTTTTAGAAGGTATTTTATATAGACTGCAACCAAGTCAGAGACCGTTCTAGGTTAATCTTTGCTATGGTGAAAAAAAAAACCCAAACTGAGCACAGGCCACTGGACTGAAATCCAAACCGTTCTCCTGTATGTTTTAATCTCAGTCCTGTATAATACACTTACTATTTCATGAGCTTTTTTTTCAGGGAAGGTTCTGTTCACTGATAAGGTTGAAGCTGAGTTTGGGATCAGTGTTGTTAACTAATACTTACTAATAAGTTCCATGAGTTCGGCTGACACATCACAATCTTTCAGTCTTCAATCCAATGAAAACAAAACTTTGTTAAAATCAGCCTCACATCTGGCTTATATGTGCAGTTGGAATTCTTGGAAGAATATCCTTTCAGTCTGGCATATGGACTCTTTGACACTGGACATACTTTCAAATGAAGTCTGTAGTGAGGAATTGTTTGACACTCCAACTCCTTTGCCAGTACTTTACCAAAGTTATTTTCAAATCAATCAGTATTCATCTTCATTCCTGTCACCATAGTTTAATATTAACATCATTGTTTGGGTGCAATGCTTTATGTAGAAAAAATATTTTAGAACATTTCATTTCAAACAGTTCTCATATTTGGTCTTTCAACTGTGTAGGTGCTGTGGGGGAAAAGGCACGGAACTGTCTCATTAGAACAGGAAGTATATAATCAGTGGTTTCCAATTTGAATTGTATTTTTATTTCAACAAAGTAAACCTTACTGCTTCCATGAGGTGAAGGTATTTTGTAATTAGACTAAAGGATTAAGCGCTGAAAGCTCTGGTGTCTCCTCCTAATGCTCTTGTCCCTTTTCCAAGCAATAATGAACAATTAATTAGACAAATTTTATTTCTTTATTTATAAGTAGCATTAATACCTCTTTCATTACTCTGACATATACACTGATGAACAAGTATAAAGCCTTCAAAATTCCTTTAGTGAGAAAAGCTATTGAAAAGAGAAATATTAAATATGAGACATCTCATTATAGTCACTTAAAATATATAGATTTCTTTAGAAGCTAATTCGTGCTACAGAACCAGACTTTATCTGTACTACATAGTGTCATAAAAATTAGCATTTTGAATTATCCTCTCATATCGGTTATGTTGTTGTTACTGGAATATATGTCATATTCTGTACTTGCACTGCAAGCCATGGATTAAGCAACATAAATTGTTTTAATTTACACAGTAAAACTTTGCAATGTGGCATATTTGTCATAGCAGATCAGTTCTTGAACCAAGCCTGTCTGAATAGCTTCTGTGTAATTCATCAGATAACTCTACTGCAAGTGCAAAGTATTCCTTTCTTTAAAAAAAAATGTTTCTTTTGTTTGTTTTTTTTTCAGGACTGCCCTTCAGATGTAGGTGACTTCAGGGCCCAACAGTGCTCAGCCTACAATGATGTCAAATACCAGGGACACTTGTATGAATGGATCCCTGTGTATAATGATCCTACCGCGCCGTGTGCCCTGAAATGTCAGGCTCTGGGGAAGAACTTGGTTGTGGAGCTTGCCCCAAAAGTGCTCGATGGTACTCGTTGCAATATTGAATCCTTGGATATGTGCATCAGTGGAATATGCCAGGTATGTTCATGGTGTAAATCAAAACATGACCTTTGTTTTGAGGCACTTTGCTCATGAGTGGGCGCTTTCGGGTTATTTTTCATCTTTATGTATCAGTTTACTTTGGACATATCTGCCAGTACTGCCAAATGGATTGTAGATTACTTACCTTTTCCTGCACACAGAACTTCCTGACTGCTTTAGCCATGGATATTTTTATATATAAATAAAAGGTCAATAAAATTCATTCACTCTTCTATTTCTGCATGTAAAAATTAAATTGGTTATTGTGGCTATAGCTTTCTAACCTTTAGTATGTCTGTCAGGGTGTGATGGAATTGCATAGCCTTCCATTTCATTTAAGACTCCTTCTCTGAGTCTTATGTGAACTCTGTTAAAGAGAATATTGGATGTTTTGTGGATCCAGCCCAGAATGGCAGGTGTGAGTGTATTATGTGTGCCTTCTTGTATGGGGTGGGTGACTATATGTTTTAATTGAATGAATTAGTATCTTTTTACTGGTAATCTATATTTCTGGATATATTTATTATTTACTAGAACTATGTTATTGACTTTACATAGTTGGTGTAAAAGCAGAGGGTTGAAATATTTGAGGCTTGCTAGCTTTGCCCATGTCTCACTGGCAAAGCAATATTGCAATCTTTTTTTATGAACAGAGCAATTTATAGAGAATGGATATGTTATTGCAATTAGTTTTCTTTCTCTGCAAGTGGTTGTTGCTCTGTTAAATGTCTGAACTGTGCACGACTCAAAAATGCAGGATATGGCCCAGTGAGAGAAATAGCTCTGTTATAGGGGAAAATTTGACACATTTGGCAGAAGACTGGTGCATGGATTATAGCAACATTAATATATGATCTGGACCTTGCTGTGGGTTTTATGTGACTTCCATGTGTACTGCAGTTCCAATACCAGTCGTGTCAACACACAGTGCATGTGCTGCCTCTGGAACAGAAGAATTCCTAACAGAGAGACTGCATTCATTGATAGTACTTTGAAGTAGGATATACCTCTATAAACATTGGAAACACTTGCAAATGATATATTTCTTTTGCAACGTTCTTAGTGATGTCTCCTCTCCTGATAGAAGCTTTCACCCAGGAGAGTGTCACGGCGTCTTCTGGGTTCATCTGCAGCAGCCTTTGCTATCTGTGCCCATCACACATGAGCGTCATGCTGGATCTTACAGAGCTCTGGGTTTTTCAAAGGCTTGTGAGACTCTTGCTCGGAGTGCTGTGGGGTTTCCAATGGCATAAAATTCACTATGCCTAGAATGGATCCAATTTTGTGAAGAACAGTTGAGAAGTATATTTTAAAGGGCTACCTTTAATGTCTCTCCTTAGCATTTTGTAGTATTCATATTCATATCTGATATCAAATGTTTGGAAATTTAAATAATCCATTTTTAGACTAAACAAAGTAGTGGAGGAAGAAATTAATCATTCCACAAACAGGAACTGGAACATTTACACTGTTGATGAGAATCAATTTCTTTTCTTCTCCCATTTTTATTTTTTTCATTATTTCTTCTAATTTCACAAAAATATTTTTCAATGTGAGATAAATCTTCAGAGGAAAAAACCCAACAAACAGGTTTAGAATGTGTCCTGTGCTGTGACTTATGCAGTTTAATTAATTTATCATTTAAAGTCACAAACAGGTGTCTTCACTTTACTTTCTTTAAATCACTGGCTATTGAAAATTTCTGCTTTTTAAAGTATATATTTGATAATTTAAAGTGGGATAATTTTATAGAGGTAAAAATTTGAATTCAAATTCAATGAATTGAAATGAAAAGTCATTTGAATAACCATTTTCTCTATGCAAACTCTTTTAGGGTCAGAGTGGAAGGTTTCTTCTGAAAGGGGCTGTGGGAGGCAGGGACTTGATTAGAAGCCGACACAGAGTTTTGTGCTACTCCTGTTTGAGCAGGAAAAGAAAACAAATTGACATCTGATCTTTTCTGGAAAAATACGGTTATTTAGTCAACTGCTGTTAAAAGCGAGACAGTAAAGTCGTGATTCTCCACAATTGTTGCTGTAAGATCCATCTGTTGGGTTCTGACATATAATTGGCACAGCCTGCAAATAACTTGGCAAGTGTTTTTACAGTTAACTCATCTAAATGAGCACATCACACTGCTGATGTGGGTATCTTCACTTTTATGCCTGGGAGCACCAAAGAGTTGGTATAAGGAGGGTGGTGCTGCTTTTGCTCATTTATTGTCTCAAAGTTGACTCAACGCCCCCTCCTCCCCAGCATGATTTCACCTTCATTTCTGTTTGGTTCTTGGTAAGGTAGGGCTGCATCACTAATTCTGCCTCTTATTCAGACTCTCACCTTGGCAGCATATGAATTTACAAGCATGGTGAGTTCCTGTTGTCCAGCTTCAGTTCTGATTCTTTGCACTTCCCTTATCAAGCAAAATCAAACTAAATAAGCTCTGTCGAAGAAAATGGGGAGATGACAAGGCTGCTCTCTGGACAGGAGGTGTGAGGCTTTACAAGAAGTGAAATCTGAAGATGGTGGAGCAGGGAACTTGTGAATGTTAATAATATATTTTTGAGTTGCTTGAGGCTTAACTCAGTCAAACCATTTGATCATGTTTGAGTCTGCTACTGCTCTGTTTCTGTTACCAACACAAATATCTGGGGCTGTTGTGTTAAATGGGGACAGGTCAAAACTGCACTGCCAGGAGTATTTTCACACTTAACTTCTGATATTTTTTCAAGTTTCTGCACAACTCCCCAAACATTTTTTCATATAATATGTTCCTGCTGTGCCCATCTGGATGTGGGTGGAGACATTCAAAAACATCTGCATGTCAGACACATGTGTGGGCAACATTTACCCAGTTACTCCTTCTGCTTTGGGGCCCTGCCTCTCCTTGGGTTTTGGTTTTAATTCATGTAGATCTGCTTTTTTCTACCAGAATGCAGAATGGAGTATTACTTGTGCCAGTACCTGAAATGGTTACAGTGATAATTTTCCTAATATGGAGTAATGTGTTTGGACAATAAATACACACATCACCCAAAAAATCTGGAGTCCTAAGGAGCAGCCTGAGTAGTTCTGTCCTAGGCTGTCACAATTAGGTCAAAGATGATGTAAATCCTGCAGTGAACTTTCCATTTAGTGTCAGCAAGTTGCTTGTGTTCCAAAAAAGGCAGACACTACTCTGTGCTTTGTAGCATATGGCATAAATCTAGCTGACATCAAAACACATCCCACATGTCAAGTGGAGTCCCATCAACTTCTGCCATGCTAGTTCTCTTCTGTCACATGTCATCATATGGCGAGTAGGTATCACTCACCACCAAAGAACTCTTACACTTGATGTAAATATCTGTCAGAGTTTTCATTGAAAACATTTTCTGTAAGCTCTTGGAAGACTGTTGCACTTTTATAAACTTTGCTTGTGCTTTAAACTTAAAATTACAGCAGATTACTAATTTCTTCTGAATCGTGACTCCTTTTTTTCTGTGAGTTGCTTTCTCAAAGTGGTTGTTTAAGGTGTTTTATGTACTTTCTCTTTCAGTTCTTGGAGATATGTTTTCTTGCCTGTAAATCTGTTAAAGGACTGCCCAAGAGGCACAGGAGATCTGGTGTGCAGGGACTTAGAAAGGAACGTTTCCTTTCCATCCAATGTTACTGGAGACATGAAGCTGTGTTTCTAACACATGTTAGTCTGAGTAGTTAATTTTTGTTAAAAAAGCACTTTTTTTTCCAAAATGAACATTCACAGTCTTCATTTAACATTTAAAGAGCAGAAAAAAATGTGTGTGTTACCTTTTTGTCCTTTTTAGCCTTTAAACCTTGAATAAGTGATTCATAGGAAGAATTGATTTTGAGGTAGCTCTGTGGCAAACCAGCCTTTATACCAAACCTGGCATTCTTTCTTGGGTACCACTAATTAGCAAATGCACAGTGTAAAGTACATTTTGGAGCATGGAGGAATCTCTACATAGACACCTATACCAGAGCTGGGAGGCTGGACCCTGTCCAGAAAGACTGTGGGAGTTACTCATGTAGATCCAACAAAACTTTCTGGCTCTCAGAGCTACGTATGAAAATCTTCATGTGACCGCATACACGTGACATAGGTCATAAAACTGGGGACAGCAGGGAGCTCCAGCTGCAGTTCAGCTGGGAGATGTTGGTGGCTCTCCAGAATTCCCACTGGAGGATGGGGCTGAGCTAAGCACGGGTTACCACATCCTATGTGACCTGGCAGTGTCACCCCCCATAGCCTCAGTAGGTTGATTTCCTTGCCCGATGGAATCTCTTGGCACTGTCCAAGCCAGCAGATCCTGGAGCTGCCCTTCAAAGGCTGCACCTGCCCCCCTTTTAATGTCACTGTCCACCTTGATGTAGTGGTTCCCTTGCAATGACAACTCAGAGGTGTGGTTTTACTGCTGGTAATAGAGGGATACTCTCAGACACTGCAATGGTCCTTGGAATCACTTGTTTGTATTTTGCAGCTGCCCAGTGCTGGTAGAAGCTGATGTTTCTTTTCAGGTCTTGTCTTATTCTCTCTCCTACTGTTTCTTGTGAAGAAGTATTCTCTACAGAGTTTCTTACTGTGTAAGTTTATCCTTTCTTGTCAGATGAGTAATGACTTTTTTCTGATCTCCAGTTTCTTATCTATATTTCTCTTTTCATAAGTGATTCTCTCTGCCAAGTTTTGTTTTGTTTAAGCAAGCTTTGTACAAATGTGACTTTACTTCCCAGACTAGCAAGGTCCTAAATCATGTGCGCAGTGATAGCAGAAAAACTCATGATTTGGGTGTCATCTTGAACTAGAGCCTTAGCAACCTTCAAATCCCCCAGTACTAACTTCACCAAGCAAGGCAGACTTATCTGGACCCAGCCAGAAAAGGAGCAAAGTAATCTGATTCCATATATTGATTGCTTTTTCAAAAGCATTCTCACAAACAAGAAGTCCAGTGGGAGTGTGTCCTATCCTCTGACTGCGTGTATGTGTGTTTTTTAAAATGGAG